GACTCCGGTTTCCAAAAACAACCTCGACTCCAACTCCGGGCTCCGACTGTCGACTCCGATCGACTCCAACTCCGACTCAGAATCGGCAGACATTGAATGGGTGCAAAGTTGATGGATTTTCGGTGGCTCCGACTCCGGCTCCGGCTTTACTTCCATAATGGACTCCGACTATAAGTTACGTATAAGGTAAGGTAAGTATAAGGTAAGTAAGGTAAGTATAAGTAAGTATATAAGGTTAGTATAAGGTAAGACGTCTTACCCGGGCGTCTTACCCACCCCGTGGGGTAAGACGCCCTTTTTCAAAACTTTTTTAAAACATCTTTGTCGCTCACTACGTAGGTGATAATGCACAATTTCCAGCTCGCAAAGAAGGTCTATTCTAATGCACATACATCTCAATGGTGGATGCAATAATATGGAGAGTGTTTGCATTCCCTTAAGGGGGCGCCTTACCCCACTCTCCCCTATAACTCATAACAGACCAAGTGTAGACAACAACCACGTATAACATGATTCGTGTTATCTATGCAACAGCCGATAACAAAAAAGTTTGGTAGGCGCCTCGCGAGAGCATGAGTCGTGCGTGTTTTTCGGATCAGAAATTAGCATCAAAGACGCTGGCAGAAGCGACCAGATAGCCCGCTGGAGGACAACGGGTGCCTGCTGCCGGCACTGGGGCAAGGTCAGCGCAGCTCAGGGCTATGACGTCACTTAGACGGAATTCCCTTGTCCAATGGGGCACGCAGGAGTGTGGTTGGGTGCACTCAAAGCACGTGGTGAGCCCCGTGAGGTCTTTAGCAGTCAGGCTATACCAAGCGAGTTTTTTATCGGGATGTGTCAAAGCAGCTTTGAGTCTGTTATCTCTTGGTTGCTGAGGCATTTCGTTTTCCGTCACTTGCCTGGGGGGGGGGTCAGGTAAGGAGGGGGGGGTTAGTTCCCAGCCGGCAATATCTCAACAGCTAAGACTTTACAGTTAGAGCTTACAGCACCAACCAGCAGGCAGCAGTCAAAAAGTCATTTTTTGAAAATGTTCAATCACAATCATCTTTCGAATAAAACGTTATGAAACGCTAAGTTGGGATACCAATTCCCATTTCGTTCAGTGATCGTTTGACCTTAAGACGTTCGTCGACCAGAACTCCCGTCCCAACGTCTGGTATATCCGGTCCCGGCCCATATCTCCCCCCCTCCCCCCCCCCGCCTCCCAGTGGTCCTGCGACCCTCTGTGCACGGTCCAACCGGCGTAACCGGCGCCTTCCGCTGCTGGGCCGGGTACTTTCACTTTCAGCCGCCGTCTGAGGCACCCCTGTGTGACGAGAGGTAGCTACTGTGACCTTGAGGTTCGATGACGGCTTCTGGGAAGGTGCTCGAAGATACCCTGGTGACCCGACCGGGTCTCAGCACCCGAATTTAAATGTAAATTTAGAATGACGTGATGCCGAGTTTAACAAAATGAAGCGTCGACACTTGTTAGGTATTGGGTGTAGTCGGAGAGCCCTCATCAACGTCGCCCAGTGTCTAGCTTGGTGCTTAGTTTCAGAGATATTCTAAGTCCTAGGAGGGGGCGTTTATAACCCTCCCCCAACCGAAGTCAATGGCGTACTCGACTGAAGACTCAGCTCAAGCACGGGCTGATAAAAGATAAACATCAGGTAATGTAGGTTTGGTGGTATCGCACAAGGTTGCTGCTTAGTCGACGAATGAATTACAAATACTGCTCGATAGTCGGCCTAGTTACATGTCATCTCTCGCTATTGTCAGTGAAGTAAGGAGTCTCTGAATCAGACCCCTCTCTCCCCCTCAGGTGTGCTGAGTTGCGAATCTACTGTACCTACACATTCTAATGGAATTATTCTGCCCCATTGACCCGAGTGCGAATGGGATTGTGTCCGCCTAGTTCACGCTGCTTTCAACACATCCTGTAGCTCATGAATGAAACGCTGGTGGATCCGGGAGCACCATGGGACAGCCATGAACCAAACGTCTCCCTTCTCCACCATCTAAGACTTTATATACTGAGTCAGCGATGATGTCATATTGTTTGATGCCTCCCCGCTCATCAAATTCTGCTTTTGGTCACTGGGTTCGCCAGCGTAAAAGATATTCGTAATATGTTGATATGTGAGGGTACAAAGTTTGTCGTGTACTAGGGGAAGTTGGGGGAACGCCGAAGACTTTTTTTCTGACGCCCGTAGCACGCAAGGTAGACAACATAAGCTATTCTTGTTGGCGTCATTCGAGAGGCCAGTCTTTTGCCTTTCAAACATACCAGGCGCATTTGATGAATTCACATACCGTTAAGCGCACAAACTAAAAATATCAAAGAAGTGACTTTTTCGGCGTTGCCCCGGACTGCGGGGAAAGCCGAAAATGGGAGAAATGATCTACGGGGAATGCCGACCTTGATGTTTTGCCATTTTATCTCAAACTTTATCCAGAATTCATCAAAGCTGACAGGCGTTTTAAGAGCTTGAGGACGCGGTGCACACTGGAAGTTATAATTGCGTGATATAATAAGAAAATGCCAGGTAAATCATTCCTTATAGGTAACAGGCCGTTGTGTCGGTTGAAAGTGTTATTTGTGTGACTAAAAATACGCGTTGCTATTCTACAGCAGTAAAGTCCACGTAGCGTGCTTTTAACACGTGCGTAATCGCACGTTTTCGGCATTACCCCAGCCAGCCATACTTTCATTTGCAGGCCCATAACTTTTCAACGTGCTGTATAAATTTCAAATAGGCAGCACACTTATGCAAAGACATGCTAAAGATTACTTGACCGAATTGGCCAGACAGACGGTAGCAAAATGAGTAAGAAATGCAGCTTCAAAGGCGCATGTAGTACAAGGGAAACGTACCTTGAAAACGCTCTTGGCGCCCTCACAGTCGAAGTATTCCGAATGACGACTCGTAACAAACATGCGATAATTGTAGTCACTTAAGCTTCAGAGCATCACTGACAGGTGGCATCCATGTCCTACGGTTTTAGAAATATCTCGAATTTCGGCTTTGCCCCAACTCCGGCATTGCCCCAACTTCCCCTACGCATCCACAAGGTGCCTTTGTTCATTTAGTGGTCCATGACTTTAAATTAACCCTCAGTAAAGCCGCCGGTACGGCTCCTTATTCGTCTTTCAGTGGCTCTCCTGACCCCGTCTCACACTCCCCACCGCATGGTGGTGACTGGTGAGGTTCACTGAACCGATCGGAGCAAGGGCGTTAGAAAGTACCCCGCCCGTCTCCTCCGAGACGACGCCCTTCCTCTCCCTCCCCGCCGAGTGCCTGCCTACTTGACCGAGACCAACGAACGGGGGAGGGAGAAGGAATGGGAGAGAGAGAGAGAGAGAGAGAGAGAGAGAGAGAGAGAGAGAGAGAGAGAGAGAGAGAGAGAGAGAGAGAGGGAGAGAGAGAGGGAGAGGGAGAAAGAGGGAGAGAGAGAGTGAGAGAGAGGAGGGAGGAGTGGGAAAGAGAGGGGGAGAGGGAGAGGGAGAGGGAGAAGAGAGAGAGAGAGAGAGAGAGAGAGAGAGAGAGAGAGAGAGAGAGAAAGAGAAAGAGAAAGAGAAAGAGAAAGAGAAAGAGAAAGAGAAAGAGAGAGAGAGAGAGAGAGAGAGAGAGAGAGAGAGAGAGAGAGAGAGAGAGAGAGAGAGAGAGAGAGAGAGGGAGGGAGGGAGAGAGAACATCCGGCTGGGGAGAAGTTGTGGCGATGTTAGTCTCGCGTTACGGTCAATTTGTTTTCAAGTTACATACGATACGACTCTGGTGTGTGCCTTTGTGCGTACTCCGTGGGTTTGTGTTCAGTGTAAGCGCGTTTGGGCAAACAACGAACGATGTAGAGCCCTCATGTGGATAGGAGCGACCGAGAGCGAGAGAGTGAGGAAGAAGAGAGAGTGGAGAGGAAATAAAAACGAGAGTTGTATATCGTTTCTGACCCACAAGTGCGTAGTATTCAATGGGGTCCATATAATTCATTGGACATAAGAAAACTTTTGAGACGAGACAGAAGCGGCCACACCATTCATATTTTTTTTTTTGTCTGCTGCCACAACTAAACGCACTTTAGAACCGACCATGTGCTTCCAGTCTCCAGATCCGGGATCTCCCTAATGGTTGGTTGAATGTCCTAATGACCGAGAGAAAATTATTGGTGGGAAGGAGGGTCGGAAAGGCAGAGGCGAGGAGAACGGAAAGGTAGAGGCGAGGAGGGCGGTCGGGGTTTGGAGCGGCGTCGGAAAACGAGTCCAAGGTCTTACGAATCCGGCTAGAGCGGCACTCACTGAGGAGGGGACCTCCCCCGGGTGGGGCGGTGGAACGGAATGGGCAGGTCGGGTCCGGGTGTTTCACGTTTTGGTAAAGAGGTTCTGCATTTTTATTTTTTGCCTTGCTTCTATCCCCAGCGGACTAATATGTAATAGGTTTTACTTAGTGTGATGGTTAGCGCGGGCGAGATAAACCTTTGAAAGATGAAAGATGCCAACATTTTACAGTCTATCACCCAACTCATAAAAGAGAAACTGTCGATTAAATTAACTCTTTCATGAGCCCAGCCGCGAAACAATGTCTGCAAAAATGTAAGTCCAGCGCAATAATGCTTGGGCAAGTTCAGAAGACAGCGGTCTCTTGCGAAGTCATGACCTTCCTTGTACAACATTTTCTCCTGAATAAGCCGAAATCGAATATTTTGCTCTCAATGGTGAATTTCGTGGGTGATAGCTTCCAATCCTCGATTAGGGGACCTTTTTAGTTTTTTTTTTTTACAAAAGCCTCATGATCCCTAACGCTCAATCCAACTATACCCGTTGGCGTTAACAGTGAAATGTTCAATCAATTTTAGCCTTTCCCAGTCAAGTGCAAATTGTGAGTAAAGAAGGCTCCCAAACTGCCCTGAAAACGCCTGAATCTTTCAGCCAGTTCTCTCTGTGGTTATGCAATTTGACGATTTTTTTTTTGATGTAGTCAATTTTAGAGTCAGTAGTTGATAAAAATTTATGGTACAGACGAACACAATACTATTTACCTGTATTTTCTTCTTCAAATTTTTCCCGACGACCAATTTATACACTCATCGCGACACAGAAAAACGAACGTTCCGCACGCATTCAGACATACTACTAAAAACAAACAACTATGGTGTGAGTTCGTGTACCACCCGCCACAATACTCGCACAAAACCATTTTCATTGGACGAGCATCTCCTCATACCCATTGTTAAAGAACTTCTTTTTGCATCTCAGTCCACAGAACATGTCACAAGCAACACAATTCACCATAGAAAAAGGTCAAAACACTTGCCCTGTGTCTGGTCTCTCCTACCTAAAAACAAAATAAAAACAAATTTCACACCAGACTTGGCTCCCCTTCAGAATTGGCGAGAAGCACACAAGAGGGGCTTAAGGTCACGTGTTTCGACACACTGCACGTCATCTCTCCGTAGTGAGACCACGTGACCTGCACCAGGGGACCACTGCCAATGCCAGAGTGTATTTATCAGCTGGGGAGGGTAGCGCCAGCGTCGGTCCCACCTTGCGGAGGCTGCAGAGGCTCAGCTTCGCAATTCTGTCGCTAGATGGTGTGCGTCCAGACGGTAGATGGGGTGGCTGGAAGGGAGAGATATGTCATTCTATTGGACTATTTATGAATCCACTACTTACAAATTACAATCATAAGTAACATATTTCACTGATCACAAGACGTCTTTTGGATGCAAAAATCTGCCAATCTCTTCGCATCATGTCACCGAATGGTCATACCAACGGAAAGTAGGCACTCATAATAAAAACAGCGTCATCTCATTGACCAGCGTCAATTGATCACATCATCCCGAGAGCAAGTGCGTGCTCTCAAAAGTGTCTTCTTACAGCAAAGTGCCACGGGATTCCATCGCAGCGCCAAGCCTTCGTACCCGATCTCAGATCAACGATTTAACCTCACATATCAGACCGGCGTTCCTCAGGCCAGTACCGCCCCTCCCTAGCTGTACGGCCCTCCAGCAGGAGTGGTTGGTTAGCCTATGTGCTTTTGGTGTAATAACTTTGAATGACAGAGACACTCCTGTAAAATGACTCAATAGAAATGAGAAGAGGGTTCGTGCACACACTTCGGCAATGGTTTTCAACAGCCATTAGACGTATTCATCAATGCAGATCGCTTATTGTGATGTTGGCAACCAACCACTAAATACCTGGAGGGCCGTACGTACCGTGCCCGTACGTACCTCATGTGGGCGTTCCCCTGTCCGGCGGCTCGGCTGACGGCGTGCGGGGACCGGTCCGCTCCGTAGAGCCCCGCACCGGCTCTGAAACACAGCACGGAGAAAGAGATATAGGTGAGAAATACTTGACTAAAAACATGGGTAACAAATGTATATTCCATAGAAGAACATGCGATTCCCGAAAATACAATTTATACAAGACAATGCAATGCACGACCCGGTATTCAACAAATCAAAGCGCGTCGATTCCGTGAGATTAAAAAGAAAACGAAAATCTAATAAGACGCAGTCACTCGAAAAGGCTCGCAAATCATAACGCTGCCATCCTGCATACTTCAGTGGCTTCTCTCCCACTGTCCAAACACAGACCCTTCCGAGGCAAGGGGTCCTAATTTCCTAAACCACCCATCCTCATCCCATCCTCTCTCTCACTCACCCTCCGCTCTCTCTCGCGAGTCCCGCCGCTCCCGTGATCGTCGTCGGCTATGACTGTCAAAACAGAATGGACAGAGGTCACACAGTGGGGTCACACAGAAGGTCACGAGTAGTCACGTCACGAGTCATCAGGTCACGAGTAGTCTTAACAAAGTAATGAAGTCGAATTTCCTTCTTTTGCACCTCTCCAAGTCAGTATACAGCAAATGTTATTGAGGAATGAGAATCGTGTCAAATCACGTTTCTTGAACTATTCATCAGACGTATCAGAAGTCGTAGGTACTTCCGCCAGTCCTCCGTATCTCTATCCGGATATACCCAGCTCTCACCTGCGCGATCGTGACTTCCTGCCGGAGCGCCGGGAGTGTCTGTCTCTGTCGCTGTCGGCCTCTGCGCCGCGACCGGACCGCTCGCGACCGCCGCGGTCTCGGTCTCGGTCCCGCCGGTCCGGATCGCGGTCTCTTCTTTCTGAGTCGCGATCTCTTCTTTCTGAATCACGATCTCTTCTTTCTGAATCACGATCTCTTCTGTCTGGATCGCGATCTCTCCTCTCTTGATCTCGATCTCGATCCCGTCTTTCTGAGTCACGATCTCGTCTTTCTGAATCGCGGTCTCGCCTCTCGGAGTCGCGGTACCTGTGACGGTCTCGGTCCCGACTCCGACTTCTGCCAAGTGAAGGTGCACAGAGGGCGTTACAAATGTGCCAATAGAGCGCGTGATGCAAAAAAGTGGAATACAAGCAAAATGTGAGTTTCGAAATCGATAATTTATGACATATCTGGAATTATCGAATCATTGTTATAAGGGTGGAGACTTCCATTTCGCGTCTAGCTACATGCGTCTAAGTCTTAGACGCGCCTAGCTGGACGGCGGCTGCGTATATCTGGCGACAGCTAACTTTAGACGCGTCCAGCTTGGAAGTCTTCGTCCAACAGTTAGACGCCAAGTTAGACGCCAAGTTAGACGCCAACTTGCACGTCTGCTCAATTAGACGCCAGTGGAAATTTTCACCCACAGAAACTTCGGCTAAAATACTGAAAACTGAAAACACCTACAATACTTAAATCTTATCAATTTAATCCAAATGTGCAACGGACAGAATAGCAACTCCCGAGCGACAAATTAACAAATCTACTCGCCGAAACCAAAATGTCCCCCGATGCACTCCTTCTCCCTCCCTCCCCCTCTCCCTCTCTCTCCTCACCTGTGCCGTCGCCGCTCTCCTCCCCGCTCTCTCTCGCCGTTCCGCTCCCGCTCGCCGTTCCTGGCCGCTCTCTCCCGCTCCCGCTCCCTCTCCCTCTCTCTGTCTCGGTCGGAGCGCGACCCTCTCTCTCGCTCTGCCACAGCCGCTGCGTCCCTCTGCCGGCGCTCCTCCCGCTCTTTCTCACGGGCCGCCTCCTGGTCTTTCTTCTCCTTTTCTCTGCCCTCCTGCGGGAGAGATGAACAGTACACACTGTGCCTTTTCCATTCCTTCCATGATTCCTTCATTCATTCATTCCTTTATTCATTAAAAGATACATTACAACCTGGAAGAGCACCGAAATTACCCATCTTACATTACATGATTCCATTATTGCCACCTGTTCGTTTGCCCAGAAATATGATTTTGCAGGTTCAGGGACAAGTTCGATTGTTATAAACAAGAATAGTCGGCAGGTTTTACTGGAACGAAGTCTCATACACGGCCCTGTATAAGAAGTTTCACGCGCCCTCACTCATGTATGCCATTCCCCAGTTAAAGGTAAGTTCTTACTACCCGACTTCCCCTAGGTGGCAGAAAGATCGACAATATCCTCCCCTGATCTAACTCACCCTCATTTCCTCGACGACCTGTCTGAGCCGGGCGTAGCCCAGGTGCTGTTTTCCGGTCAGGTGGTCGTCGATACGCTGCTGAGCGTCACTCAGGATGAGGAACGCGCCGCAAATGTCGCACACCTGCATCTGTTTCTCCTGTGAGGCCGCCATCTCAGCCGCCTGAGGGGGGAGAAGGGAAGGGTAGGTTATATACGGCGTGAGGGGTACAGCGATGCACAGAAATAGTCATCTCCTTATAACACCACAAGTAATTACCTAGGTATGATCGAGGAGTAAGCCATTTGAGGAGAAAACCTTTTCAGTTTCGGTTACAGGTATATAATTCGGGAACACAAATCAGCAGTTTTTTTCACGACATAAACTGCTGCAGTGAATGAATTTCAGGCCGTAGGTTAAACCGCAGAAAGGCATGATAGTTCATACTGACCTGGTGCCACACGGAGCTCTCGTTGTTCCTTCTCAGACGGTCCCGCTCGTCCTTCAGTTTGTCGCACAAACGCATCAGGCTCTGAGCTTCCTCTACCTGGAATCTCAAACAAACACACAAACACACCAGTCAGAAGTAACTGACAACTCAAACACACGCTAAACCAAACGTCAGAGCCACCAAGGCCCGACGTAACACCAATACATCAACATCGGTACCCGTATGTAAAACCAATATGCATCAATACCAGCATTTGTCTACATTAGGATTCAGATAAAAAACGACTACCCTAATCTAGCTCTCTCTTTACAGGCATCTCTGAAATCCCCTCCTCACCTTACACCTAGCACATGACCTCTTACCAACGTCCTATTTCCTAGTGCTTCCCGTCAACCCATCGACCAGCCTCCATCTTTTCTTTCCTCTCTTCCCAGGTTCCCTCACCTCCTCTCCTTTCATCTCCCCTCTCACTCGATCTCCCTCACATTCCCTCTCTTCCTATCTTCTCATCCTCCTTCTCACCTGTCCCTTGCAGCCCAGTTCCTCCACCTCGTTGACCAGTTTGGAGATGCGCCCGGTCAGTGAGGCGATACGCTCCTCCTGTCGGCTGAACTGCGGAGGCACCAGAGATGCCAGCTTCTCGTCATCGGGCTGCAGCTCCAGACGCTGGCGGGACTTGCGAATCTTACGCTCGACTTCGTTCAGCATCGACTGGAAAAGTGGTGGGTTGGAATAGGCAAGGGGAGGGTAGAGCCAGGAGGTGTGGGAACTCGCGAACTTACCGAGACGCGTGTCATCAGTTATGAAATATACCTATCCGAATCAGAGAGTATAAGAGCAAGAGACCAGAGAAATAGACATATAAATGACAATTTAGTAAGTAAAAGCATGAATGTGAAAAAGATGGACAAGCGACATAGGTATGGTCAAGTTAAAGCCAGAGCATAAAAATTTTCATTATGCGCTACGCGCTCAGGCATCGCCTTAACACCCATCAGCAATCGTCAACTACTGACACCAATAGCTACCAACTATGATCCTCCCCCACCCATCGCGGCACTAACCTGGCAGTACCGGAGAAACTCGTCCTCATACACCACCCGTCGATAGGAGGGCAGTTTGAGAAACTCTTCACGTGCGTCGTCGTCATGGATACCGCCGCACGGCCCGAGGTCAACACGAGTGTTGGTGAACAGGTCGTGCGGGCACAGCTTTACCAGGTAGTAGCGGCACACCTGGGGATGGGGGGCACGGTAGTTACAGAAGGAAAGGCAGACAGTGAGATGGTGGAAAGTTTCAGTCTCTGCTGACCGTTGAATGTTATACCATACTCCTGCCATCTGACCATACTGCTGACAGAGCACAGCATACCTGAGTTATCAAAGCAAAATTGAAGCAAAATATCCTTGAGATATGTAGAACTTCAAACACTCATTGACAATAATCTATGTTTTAGCCAAACCATACAGATCAACTGACCTAGCAAGCTAGGCAACTTTCTCCCAACATAGCCTCCCTTCCTCACCCACAACATAAGCATCTGTAAATGCAGCATGGTACTTGAAGTTACATTTCTGTTTCTGTCAGAGCTTAGGACCCAGTTGGTCCTCTGTAAAACATACTCTCTGAAAAAGACACATCCACACCACAGTCTCTCACCTCTGGTGAGTCGTAGGACAGCTTCTGCGCCTGCTGGTCGGGCAGCAGGTCGCGGTTGCGGCCCATCAGCTCGTTGAGGAGCTGTGCTGCGTAGTCTGTCATAGTGATGCCTGTGCAGAGGTGGCACGACCGAGGGGCGACGCCTGCCGTTACACCACACCAGTTCTGCAGGTGGGCGGTCTTCAGTCACCCACTGGTGGGGATTACTGCATTAATGACCTGTGGGGTGGAGCAGAGCCAGTTAGGTCGGTGTACATTGGGTTGTTAACAGACTGATACATTAAAAGTTCTTGATCAATCAGCTGCATACAAACAGAAAGAAGTGAACATGTTTGAGTGGAGCAATGAAATGCACCCCAGAGAGTAGAGACCACACAGCCTATCTTGAATCATTTGGCTGAGCAAGTGAGCAATTTATACAAGGTTAGGCTGAGCAATAAGTTCATGGGTAGGTATGTTTTTACTGTTCCTGGAACCCAGATGGCATATGAATGACACTAGTGGAGTTAAGGGGTACCTATCCAAGGAACATGCAACCTGTAGAGTTTGGGAGATGGCCAACAAATTCAGAAGACAATATCTTGTGACTTGTGGGATGCAAGGCCAGGGTATATTGAATAGGCTGCCTCACTCTGCCAGTGTAATTCTCTATTCCAGTGACCATGATGGATCGAAAAATGAAAGCATGCTTGCACTGGCATAACATCACTGTTGCCCACATCAAGGCCAAAGCCTGTCCCACTATCTATACCCACACTTTCATGGCAGGATGACATCCACTGGTCATTCTCTAATTCTTATTATAATCCAAGGGCCAAGGATCATTAAAATTGTGCCCAGCTTGCTAATCCTTATCAACAACCCATTGGATCCCAGTCCATTAAATATTATATGAATACTGTATAGGGTAATAGCATAAATTATTGCCCGATGTGACATCGCTGTAGCCCTAGGGTGAAGACTGAAGAACGAAACATGCTTTATCGCCCACAGCGTACCTAGCTGAGCCCTGAGGGCAATAGTGCTTAGCCTGAGGGCCAAAGTGGTATCACAAAGGGCAATATTTTCTTTCTTATTGCCCCTACCACACAGTATTCATTTTATTACATGGCCCATCCCAACCTGCTAATAAATATAGCTAAATGTCGCCACTCAAAAAAAATTGAAAAAGGATTCAAGCATGAGCAAGTTACTATTGGTGATGTCACTACCAAAGATATGTTTTCCTCCAGAATGAAAAGGAAATTAAAACTGAAAATTGGGCGGTACACATGGAGGTCCCCAACACTAAAAAGTATTACGCACCCCTTTGAACATACAACCTACAAGCCATGTAATTCCAAACAATAAAAGACAATTTTGCATCCCTCACATGACTCGATAAATGCCAGTTTAACTATCATGAACACCCAATAAAGAATAAATTGATTAGCATTATAGTTTGAGACTGAGAGCGTCGGCCACGCCGAAAAGAATCGCTTATGAAAGGGCGAAAAAAAACATCGCGACTGTTAATATTTTGATTTGACTATACACTTTCTCAAAAATAAATGTAACGGTGCAGAGACACTTAACAAGTGAGACACAGAATACATTTACTTTTGTTTTCAGCGAACATCGGCGTTATTTCACATTGTATACAAATAATGACAATAATGGCGCACACAGAGATATGCGGCATTGTGGCGCTGGCTGAACAGCGCGTCACCTATAGGCAGAATTGGGAACCATGAACCTAATCATAGATGTCAGGACAATCGTTTCTCTGCGGAAGCCAGACGTGGCTTACTCAGTTTGGCTACGGCCTACGGATCACCTTATGTGATTCGTGGTTTGGCGAATATGACACCTGTCAATCACTTTCAAAGTTCCTGGTATAGACCTGTGCGATCGAATGGACAAGCTTATCATGAAATGCATCGGCCCAATAATTAATTTTACCGTTCTGCATCACGCGTGCCAACCAATCGTACCCCACCGATGAATCCGCATGATCCATCACTTCTGCAAACGATCCATCCAGTAGGGGAGAGTGGGGTAAGATGCCCAGGGTGGGAAAGACGCCCCACCCCCTCTAGCGGCGAAACAAAGAATTGAACCCGGAAATTAATGTTCTTAGCGTAAAGCGGAAGCCTGCCTTGTTAACACGCGCAGTGGAAGGGTTGCGAGTACTACGCCCAGTGGAAGGGGGGGGGGCGGATGTCGCCCCCCCTAAGATCTCAGCTCCCACTGGAGCTAGAAAGACGAAATTTGGAGGGTAGGTGAAGGCCATGGGGAACTCTGTTGTGTGTGAATTTCATGACCCTAGGTCAATATCTTCAAGGTCAAATGAGGTCAAATGTGGTCAAATCTGCCATATTAGCGACTTTTTTGCGTTTACACTCCGATAACTCAAAAAGTTACCGGCCGATTTTTTTTAAATTTTTCACTATACGAAAGAACAAACATTTGTGAGTATGTATGGTGAATTTCTAGATAATCCAACAATAAATATGGCAGTTAGAAGCCTGCTAAGGGTAAGATGTCGCCGGCTGAAGCGGCATCGGCCGACGCGGGAAACGCGGCAATCACAATTTTGTGTTTACACACTCATAACTCAAGTTGTTACCGGCCGATTTTCAAAATTCTTTGACCATATGATTGCCTGTACATTTCTCAGTCTTCTCACCGAATTTGACACGAATCTAATATAATCAGCGGTAAGGAGCGCGCAGGGGCGGCGGATTCGGGGGGGCAGGGGGGGCAGCTGCCCCCCCTGGCAAACTCGTGGGGGGGCAAAAATATCTTTTTGCCCCCCCATAATTTGTGACATAACTTAGACAAGAAACCATATACCTGATAATTCTGTTCGATCATCTGAAGATGTAACCAGATGAGCTATACCTTATCATACGTTGCCTTTCTTAAATGACAAGCGTTCGCATTCAATTGAAGTTTTCCTCTCTTCAACCTAGTTTTGGAGGCATTATAAGCGTCAACGTGACGCAGCGCGGCAACCCAGGCCTTCAGTGACCGCTTACAGGGGCGACAGATACGGGGCGGTAGAGGAGACATCGTTCCCTAAGAAACTTTTGGAGGAGGGGCAAACGTAGTATTCTTGCCCCTCCATAATTTGTGCCCTCAACATGAGGAAAATTTACATAACCTGATAGTGCAGCTATGCGCTCCTACAGTTTGTCCAACGGTGCCTTTTGAATATGTGTAAATGCTAACCATTTCCGCTTTATAGCTTTTTTTCTTTTCAGATTCGGTTTAGAGATATTTTAAGTGTGCAAGAGACGCAACTCATACCTTCAGTGGTCGTTTGCCGCTATTTTGTACTGTACCTATGTACATAAATGCCAAATCGCAAGCGAGCGGAGACGGAAGGGCTAGCCATTCGCTTGCGGGTAGTTGACTGTTGAGCGCTCGTAATAAGTCACACCCCTGATTTTTTTTTCGAGCGCAACAGTTTCCAGTGTATAAAATGGTAAACGCCGAGGTCGTACACATTGACCACATTGACCAATGCACGGTATGACACCCAGAGGCCAGTCATCAGAGATCTGCTTTGGGCATTCGGAGTTTTGTGTGGGGCCAGTGAAAAACTGGATGTTCACAGTTCAGTATCCGCTTTATTTCAGTGTTCACTATTAATTGAGTAAAAATTAATGTTGGGAACTTTTGAGGGCTAGGGCACTGATCATAAGTGGGCCCCCTCTGGCTAAAGGCTGGCTATAGAATACAGAGCATCGAACACGAAAGCAAAATCTAAGGCATTTTGGAAAAATGAGCATGCCCCGCAGCGTCCGATAACCACCACCTTCTAGTGGATCATGCCAACGGGGTCCAAGTCTATAAGGGCACGATAGCACTAACCTTGTCTCACTTTTCGTTGAAGTCTGTTCCGAATGGTTTCGGCTACAGACTGGCTGCACTGAGTTCGTTTGGTATGTGCATGCTGTAATTAAAGCCACCTGAGGCGCCCCATGACACCATGGCTGAAGCTGGGTTGGAAATGCTTCGTCTTTGCAGATATCACTGGCCGCTGATTCTCGAGTGCCTGGACCGGTAGATGTCGTGGTAAAATTTGGTGTGATAATTTGGACCTTACCGCAGTCAGCGCACCCTAGAGCCCTAATAAGGAAACGCCCCACCCAGAGCTTCTGGATTCTCGTTCCAGTCCACCGTTCCTTCACCCTAGCCCGCCGCCGCGCTCCCTCACCTCAGCCCTCCGTTCCCAGCTTAACGAGCGTTTGGGCCTTAGCGTTTAGGCTTACTGTATAAACCCATCGAGACAACCCGTCTCCGTGAGCTTAGTTGGCGAACCTGCCTTGGGGTGGGTTTCTGGCGGATCGCTGTCCCAATAGGTTTAGATGCGACCGACTGTCTCTGAATGTTTGAGCGGTCTCCTCCCGCTGTGAGCTAGTTTCAGTTGATATCTGTCTCAGAAATACTTTAAAGGAAGGTTAAACGGAAATCGAACGTAAACTGAACAGAGTAAATGATAACGAGTTACCTCGTTAAAGAATAGCGCTCGCCTACTTCAAAAGGTTTGGCACCGTTCTTCAACATCTGATATGCGATCGGGTTATGGCACAATTTTTCCCATTGGAGCTTTTTTTCTAATACAGCAATACGAAAATCGTTACGTCGTCCACTGGCGGATCCAGGGAGCGGGCATTTAAAGCATTACTCCCCCTCCCCCTGCATCGCCCGAAATAGACAAAACGTACCTTATGTTTCCTAATAATAAATCTTTTATCAGGAATTTTTTGCTTTATACTGTTCAGCAGTATAAAGAAATCGGAATCCGAGCAGTTTTTTTTAATTTAGACACTTTTTGGGGGGTATCCCCTACAGCGTCGAAAACGCCTTTCTGGATCCGTCTATGACATCATCTCGACTGGGATCTTGCCCCCCCACGCCAAAATCGAATCCGCCGCCACTGGGAGCGCGATGTAAAGACGGAGCCGTCCCGCCCCGGCACAGTCTACAATTCAGGCGGCGCGTAACGGCTAGCGCCGGCCGCCGCGCCGCCGCGCCGCCGCAGCGGCAGGATATTTGACTTTACACCGCTATTACTAGAAAAGTTGTGAACCGATTTTCTTGCTTCTTGCACGAGAAGATCCGCAATTCAATTCTGGACAGGTAGCCGAAATTTCACATTCATATTATGCTTGTGGCGCGAGTTATTGGCGAAAAACAGGAGGGGTGGGCGAAATCCGCCCCCCCCCCCTTCCACTGCGCGTGTTAACTGCACAAAAATTTGCGAAGCTCAGTTGGGCAACGGCTGGCTGGTGAATGCATGTTTTTTATTTGCTGCTTTCGAAAAATATTTTGGTGTCAAAACATTGTAAATATCAAAGAAGGTAGATAATTTTTGCGTCCCTTGCTATAGTCGTGATACATTAACATGCGTGTACTGTGTCCCAAACAGTTTGTTTCAGGGTGTAGTTTTATGGCTAACAACTTGTACTGATTTAATGTTACTTCGGTACCTTGGGGTAAGATGCCCCCTGTCCTGATGGGGAAAGACGCCCCCCTAAATCCGTAGGCTGTCCTTCAAGCAGCCCGTCAAATCATTTATTACATGCTTGTGATGAGAGACAAAAGCCGATCTGAGACTAATGAGAGTCCAATACGGTCGGGTGCTCCTCATGCCGGTCTCTCGGCCCACACAGCGACTTTTTGGGCGGCATCTGACTCTGAGAGCCCTCACGACGGCCTCTGTGGACCCCATTATTGGCTCCAGGGCCCCTCACGACATCCTTTGAGGGCTCCCACGTTGGCTCCACGGGCCGTGCTGGCATCTGAGGTCCCCACGATGGGCTCGAGGGCCCTCAAGCATCATGAAGACCTATAAGGGCCCCACAGTGGTCTCCGAACGCCACCACGGAAGCTTGTTTGGCCGCGCTGGACTATGATGACCCTAACGATGACCTCTGAAGCCCCTTACGACCACTTTTGAGGGCCCTTACGATGACGTTTGGTGTCTACTGCAGGCTCGAAGGGACTACTGATTCGTTCAGGCGATTCACGTGCCCATTTATGTCACTTATAGTGCAGGGGGCATCTTCCCCAACGCCAGGGGGCGTCTTTCCCACCCTGTGGGGTAAGATGCCCCCTTTGACTTCTTCAGGAAAATGCTTAATAGCAAAAACAGTTATCATATTTCAGGCACGAAAGTGTGATATTTTTGGAGAAAAATGATGTCGGCTTCCGTTGAAACTCAAAGTTTTTGCTTTCCGATCGTCATTTTCGAATAATATATGACATAGTAAAACCCTGGGCATCTTTCCCCACTCTCCCCTACTTTTCAACCGTAATAACACACTAATCATACCACAGCTGTGGTATGATTCCTGTGCACAGGAAAGGATCACTGAAAAGATAGTGTATTAAGCTGCTCAAAGCGCATCACATCTAAGACAATCACAGTTTTTATCTCCGTGTGCTTCTGGACACCGGCAAGGCTCTGGTAAATGCAGGGGGCATAAATCCGGCACTCGATTATTGCTCGGTATCTCGACACGCAGCATGACATCATACGTCCCATTCAACAAAACACCTTACTCCACGCATCTCACGCGACATAAAAAAGATGCTTCGCTTGGTGATCGAGACGATAAAGCTGTAAAAGTTGTTGGACAGTGACTACATAACATTTCTAATAAAGGCAGTTGAGATAAGCAGCACTGGCGCTTTATATCACAATCAGAACAAGATTAAAGCACACCGGTCTGGCTTTGTCTGGCCCAGGCACAATAGGTCTAGACTAGTCTAAAGAGGTATACGATAGCCACATTCCGCATGTACTCGTAATATGTACAAAACGTTACATCTGGCTCACATATCCCCGATCTACATGATCAAGTGCACAGAAATTCACTGGCCTCTTTGGTAGCCGCCATCGGTGACGGTCAGATCTTACTTCATTAGTGCTTCTTGTCTCCATAAGGTAGTCAACACTATGTCAGGCTGCAGGCTGCAGGGATGCCGCGGTCAGATCTCAGTCCAAAACAGACGTCTTCATCAGCTTATTGTCTACAGTGCCGACTGTAAAACGACATCGCCTCACTTCTTACGGATACGGATCCCCCGTCTCAATCTGTGGTCACCGGCAGACTGTACCTGGCCGTTTTTCATTCCTTCCTTATAAACCTCTCTGCTGGCCTTTGTTAAACCGTAAGGCAGTCAGGTCATTAGCCATTCCTTTCGCACCCGGCTGTTAGCACTTAGCACCATCGGCCACTATTAGACCGTAAGTCAGTCAGGCCATAAGCCATTCTTTGCGCACCTCTCTGTTAGCACCATTGACTTCTGCTAGACGGTAAGGCAGTCAGGCCTTATTCACTCTTTGCGCACCTCCCTGTTACCATCAGCCACTGTTTCAGTGTAGGGCGGCGGCGGGTCAGTCTGTCTGTCCGTCATCACCGAGCTGTAGTCTGGCGGCGGACTGTCTCGACCACCGCTCGCAGGCGGAGCGGGGATCACGGGCGGAACATGAACCACGGGCGGAACATGGATCACAGGCGGAACGTGGATCACAGACGGGCCATCCGCCGAGGTGTAGCTCGGGCGCTCCGGCGACCGGCGCTCACCCGCAGTTTTGGTGTAAAAGATGAATGCCGCCACCACCATCATAATGACACCCACTGCCGTAAAAATGAAGGTGAGTCCACTCGTGGATCCTCCGTAGAAAAAGATTCGTACAGCTGCTCCAAGAATTATAACAACTATTCCAAACACCACACATTTCATGTCGATTGTTTGTTGCGCCCTCGCCAAGCAGGATTCTAAGGTAATGCCTTCTCGGGCAGCGTTGTTCTCCACCACGCTAACATGAATACCAACACGATGTTGCTGGTTTGGTTCTTCGGGGTCAGCGACCCTTGACCCTTGAGCCATACCTCCATTCATTGCTGGTCCAGGCTCTTGTGTCACTGGCATTACCACTAGTCTATCAACATTACTTATCTCTCATTACTGGCTCTGGAGTCTGGAACGATCTGAGCTTCTCACCACCCAGCATCCCTCTGCCGAGGTTTTCCTCCTCTCCACTCACTGTGGATAAGAGACACAGTGGATAAGAGACACATGAGCAGTGATCCAACAGGCACCCATAAGTAGATCCAAAGGAACAGAAGATATATGGCCATCAGACTTCCCTCCCCCCCCATAAAAAGCTAGTGTATAAACTACAAAATGTAAAGTGATTTGTAGTGCATTGTAGTGCAAAATGCAAAGTGATTATAAACTATAAAGTCAAGCCCCTTATAGCCCTAGTCTCAAGTCTGAAAGATAATAGTTGGAAAATGGTATATAGATAACTAGTAGGAGAATGCAATATTTGAATGACAATGGTATAAAAAAATAACAAAAAAGTTACTAGTTCCATCTTACTGAGAATTTTTGAATCCCTTGCTCTAGAATTCTTTTCATTCAATCTGGAATGTCCCAAACCAACAGCTTAAAATCAATGTTTAGGTCAGGCCCTACAAAGACTGGCTTGAGTCATGAGTGCCTATTGTTTGGACTTGAGAATGGGATCAAGATCAAACTAGCAAACACTGCAACCCTTACATGCATTCAAACATTTACCTACCTTTGCTTTGTTTATATGAGCCTTTTAACATTAAGACAATCATACAATAACCTGGACTCGATAGTACACATACGTGCATGCAAGACTTTCATTGGCATTTTTGGATTACTTGTATCATTTATTTAATTTTATAAATACATGTTATTTGCCAGTACGTACGGGCAGTAGCCAGTAACCATTACAACATCAAAATGACTAGGCATGAACGTCTCACGATAAAGGAACTAATTACTTCTGAATCATGAATCTATTTCAATTTTATGAATTCCTCTAGTCGTAAAGTTTCTTTTCATTCTCTGAGAAGTGAGAACTACCCATGACATGACCCAAACAATTTAGAATAGGTATGCAAACCACAGACAAATATGCAACAATGCCCTAAATCGGTCACTCATTTATAGATTCTAAAAGTCATGGAAAAAATACATGATATTGTTATGCATGTAACAAAAATTGAAACATAAGTCATAATGGCTTGACCTGTGACAACATCTTCAAAATGATAACCGGACAGAAGGCCCTAAAAACATAAGCAACCGACATATAAACAAACGAACAGTGAAATGTTGCTAAAGTGACGCACTTGTTACAAAACACTGCAGTTGCCTTAAAATGCAGACATATTTTTAGCTGCCAAGTATAAAAGAATGTAATCATTCGACAGTAAACAAATAATTGGAAAATGTGTTACGTTACGACAAAGCAACACACATCCGCATATTGCACTGGTGGACGTATAGGCAATAGGGGACATTTTGGCCATTTGCTCCAAGATCTCTTTGCTAATTTGCTCCTCTCGCAGCGTCCAAAATCGTTGTTATTGATAGATATTATTTAGTAGCAACTCGCAACAATCATGTAAGCCACGCCATTCACTATAACTCTAACCTTTACCACCTTTGGACATTTTCTACCGAGAATGCTGTTAGTTCCAGTCCGGACGGGACGGCCCTATTTATCACTATCATTTATGAACGCGGCTTCGTGCGGGTTACACCAAGTATGTGCGTTTCGGCGTTCGCGTTGTGTATTTCGTATCCGTAAGTGTGTGCGTTTTCTTATGTAGGTATTTCTTGTGTTATCTTCAACCAGCTCGGACTCGGAATTTAATCGCCATGCCGAATGTGGATTGCTCTTGATCGTCAATACCTACATAGGGGAGATCCGTGTAAGACGCCCAGGGTCGGTAAGAGGCCCCATCGCTTTTTTTACCAAACCAATAATGTTATTTATTTTTTAATGTTCTTGTAAAGCAGAAGCCCTCTTGAAACAACAACTCACGAAACCTGAGGTATCAGGTGCGTCGCAGCGACTTTTGGTAAGCCTGTTTCTGTTTTTGCCCCTTTACTTGCTAGATATATGCATCTTTATCACCCTTATATATCTGAAAAACAATGACTATCAAATGCAATCTTATCTCATCGAAATTGTCACATGTTAGCTTCAGAATAGACCATGTTCTGGTGCGCTGCAAATGTCTCATAAACCATAAATATTGTGACGTTACAACACTGCATTTTTTTAAGAGGCCCTCCCTTCGAGGATTATAAAACGCCCCCCCGATAAAAAACGCCCCCGATGCTAAAACGCCTGCACCTGCGGCAGGCGTGGCATTCTTTTTTCAAGGAGTTTGTTTTTGTTTCTTTTTTTCTGTTTCTTTTTCTAGAGGTAATAGGTACAATTTTCGTTGGTCATCAGCGTTTGGTTGTGATAGTTTTCGCATTGTTCGAGCGCTTTGGAAGTGTTATTGGTTTCGATAACACCGTATTTGCTTAGCTTTTCGAAATAAAAGGCCTTGCAGCTGTGTTCGCAAAACGTCTTTTGCAAGTCGACTTGCCTTGTTAAACACCCGAGGGGGGGGGGGGGGGCGTCTTACCATACCCATAGTGTAAGAGGCCCTTTTGCAACTTTTTCCAAAATGTTAAAGTTTACGGTTTGTGTACCCCCTAGATTCATTTTGAATGCAAATATGTATGGGAAAATGATGCATGCTCACAGCGCATGCACACGTTAGCTCTTAAATATTATCAGTTGTCTAAAAATAGCAACTGAGCTTAAGGGGGGGCCTCCTGCACCACTCTCCCCTACATACATACATACATACATACATACATACATACATATCTATGCATTCACCCTATTTATCCTGTAGCCCTATATACGGCCTTGCCTGTAGCCACCGTATGTATCCACTCTACGGACCCATGTATCCACTGTCGCCGGACGCAGCCAGGGTCGCTGCCACCGCCAGACTGTAGGGTGGCGGTGGCTGATTGTCAGTGGCCGTCACGGAACTATAGTCCGGCGGGGGAGTGTCGCCCCCGCCACTCTCAGCTGACCTCAGGCCAGGTCGCCGGTCAGAGATATTTTCACTGTCCAAGAGTTTCGAGTACATAACGAATATGATCACCGCCACAAAAACCAGACCCAGAATGGCACAAATAAAGAAGATGGTTACTGAGGGCCCGCTTATTCCTAATGCTAACAACACTCCTGCAAGTACAACTGCAAATAGTCCGAAGAGCACCGTTTTTACGTTGACTTGTTTCGCACTAGATACAATTCTAGTCCAGCACGAGTCTTCTGTCGTTTCTTCGTTGGCAGTGTCATCCTCGCGTGGCTGGTGCGACTCTCCTGGGTCGCTGACCCCTTGTCTCGTCGTAATCATTGTAGCCATTGGTCGGGTCCTTGTGTCACCGAGGCATTACGACTGATATGGCGGCAGCTTGACGCAAACTGTCGAAGTAACACTGTTTGTAGATCACAAACCTCGTCGTGCTCATTTGTGATTTGACTGCACTGCAGACCGATGCTGACCACTCTGAACTATGCTGCTATAACCGCTGGACGTCTGTGACCCGGTGCTATGGTCACCGTCTATTTAGGTCACTGTCATAAAATCCGAACGTCTTCCCGTGTCTGTCTTCTGAACTCAGCATCCCCTTCTCACTACCGCCATACGTAAATCACCGCCTTATCACTGCCGTGTCACCGCCGTATCACAGTTCTCGTTTCATGGTCCTCTGACCGATGTGACTTTTCGCTGGCACCGCGGCCCATTTATTTGTCAGCTGGCATTTTTATCTGTTTATTGTCCTTTTATCGCTCGTAGCACAAGCTTTGTCATAGGCGTCCGAAACTTCCATCAAACGGTCATCAATTTGAGACGGTCCTCAGTTTGTCTCCTTGAATAGGTCATTGCATTATTTTCGATCACATGGCCACTGAGTTACTTTTTGGTCAAAGTTGCCTGACCACTTCTCCGCCTCCGACCACTGACCTCCTCTATAGTCGCCCGCTCAGTCACCGTCTTCTGACCAATGTCTTCATACCACTAATCTCCAACCACTGTTCTGACCACTGTCTTCTGACCACAGTCCTTCGACCAAAATCCACTGCCATCGGTCACTTGGCCACCGCCTCCCCGTAAATCATCTCTGCAACTGTCATGCAAGATTGCTGACGGGCCGTTTAACCGTATCGTAGTGCACCGTTTTTCGGGCCTGCTATCGGCTGGCGCACCTTCCTATCGGCACTCACGTGTCGTCTGATATGATATATACGATCGTTCGCTATCGGTCCGACGCCAGATACAATTATCTCGTATCTTTGGCTCTCCGTGGATAGTGTTAGTGGACGCCAGGCGGCCGGCCCGCGCGGGGAGTGCGTGCCTAAGGTGACATTGCAACGCGCAGTAGGTGCTTTAGATGATGAAGGTCATCTCTGGTGTATTGGAGGCCGGCGAATATCGCCGTGAAGTTCATCGTTAAATGTCACGGACGTTCTGTGGCCTGTTAGAGGGAGTGCGAAATAAAAACACTGGCAGTGCGTTGCATGTATGTTGGTGGAGAAGGCCCTGCCTGGATCAAAAGAATTCTTACGCAGACACCAGTGATCCTGATCAGTGACATTAGTGACTTTAGTGGCATCAGTGACTTCAGTGACGGTGATGATTGGCCACAGTGATTTAGTTAGAGGACAGAACGGTCACCATTTTGACTTTTTTATATCGGCCAGAGAGCAGTCAGTCAAATTACTGATGAGATGATGTCGGTCGGAAGCGCGGTGGCTTGAGAACAGCGGTACGAACTAAGAAGGCAGTCCGTTGGCTTGAGAACAGCGGTAAGAACTAAGAAGGCAGTCCGTTGGCTTGAGAACAGTGGTGAGAAGGCAGTCCGTTGGCTTGAGAACAGTGGTAAGAAGGCAGTCGCTACAGTGAAATTTCAAGACGTCGGCCGTCAGAAGACAGTGGCACGTGGTACAACCGCTGTATAAGCCGACAGCAGCTCCAGTTAGTATTGCTAACATTGCGACCAACATCCGGAACATAAAGCACACTACCATGGGTGTGTCACTCGCCGACTACGACAAACTCATCGTCTTTCGCAACTTTTTGGCGTTCCTGGACATCATCTTTGTGGTTTTGTTTCTGATGAAACTCGGAAACGGGGAAACATTCTCCTCAGTCGCCAGCACCGGCCTTCTCGCTGGCTTCTTCTTTATCGCATTTATCGTCGTGTTTATTATTGAGAAATGCAGACGGCGCAAGTCTTCGGCAGAAGATGAGAGACCGAATGGTTGTGAGAGTGACGAGGCGACCGCACCTCCGCCGCCGTTCTCCAGTGTCGTGACATCCAACCTCTCGCCATCTTCTCCATCGCTACCATCAGCGCCTCAGTTCGTCTCTGAGGAGCCCTCGGCGCCTAGCCCCGACCCGGCTCGTCCGCTGGATGGTCCCCGCCGGCGACCCGACCTGAGGTCAGCCGGGAGGGGTGGGGGTAACAGTCCCCCACCGGACTATAGTTCCGCGACGAAAAGCGATAGCCAGCCGCCGCCGTATAGCCTCGCTGTGGCTGATGACGTCAGGAAAGAGTGATGACGTCGGTTTACCATTTCATCGGGACTGAAAACGACAGTGTGATGATACTGACAGTTTGAGCCACGTTCTTGAGAATATTTAATCCCTGCAACATGCCACGTCATTCTATCGGGATTCAGGTATCTCAGAGGTGCTTCATAGATGACTGGTGTTTGTTAGTGAGCAGTTGCGCGCAATCGTTTTTGCGCCATCTACTGTACATTTTATCGACGGATTTATCGTCATGTGAAATGTAATAAAATAAAATTATTGTTTTGGTTACTGAGATGAGACCCCTATTGCTTCATCGTGGTGGTGAATCAGCAATCGCACGTACCATTTGGCGCAGTAACGTTTCTGTTATTGCCCCTTTGGGTGTTCCAAAAAAAGTGAGCCCCCTAACTAAGATCGACTGTATCTCCGCAACCGTGTATCCTACAGCTTTGGAAAGCCGCTCATTAGAAAGAGCAATCGAATTCCATCCAGACAGGTCGTAATTCTGTTACATACACTGAAAACACTTTGGAAGAACGTTAAGAACGTACAGGGGTATTTAGACCCCTGTGGGGTAAAATGTTATGCCACCGTTTTTCAGAACCCCCATGGTTCTTCACGTAGACGGCTTTGCATTCTCATCAAAAGAATCCACACGATTCTTCCAAAGACTCTTATGAGGTTTAGGGTTTATAAT